TCAGGCTGGTCGCCATGGGCAAAACCATCTCAAAGGACTCTTTCACGGGGTTTTCTCATCTCACCTGCCATCAAAGTTTTCGAGATTCTGTCAACATGAGTTCTCCTGACCTGTCTGCTGCAAACATTTCTTGCCCTCGGATGTTTGTTATTTTCTTATTTCGGAGTTCCAATTTTGAATTCTCGTTCTATTTCTGACTGTGTGGCCTCATAGCTTACTGCCGGCTCTGGTTTTATTTCCTTACCCTGAATATCGGTGAGCATTGAGTTCGAGATGAAGTGAGATGTAATTATCGTTGAATCCGAGCCCAAATCTCTCTGCGCACAAGGTTCCGTGAAATATTGTCTCTCTATACCTGCGTATCCCTCTTTCCAGATTCAGTCAAGCTACTACTCACCCTGAGGCGAAAAAAAAAAAATCAAAGCAGCCCAGCACATTCGGAGAACCCCGTTGTACCAGTTCAGGCTATCTTTCCGGAAGTTGTCACGAAATCTGGCTGTGTGCCGCACACTACATCCGATTGCTTGATGTATCTTTACCCCGGTCAGGTGTGATGGGCACTGTATTGCGTTCGAGTTCAGAAACATTCCTAAAACACGGAACAGAGTGTTGGCTCCCCGAATTAACTTGTTACTTCTTACTCAGTTTGAGACGAGAAAAAGAAACATTGTTAGTGAACATAACACCTGGACACAGAGAGTCGAACACCAGATCCGATTCCTGTCTGGGTCTCGGTAAGGTGGCCTGAAACAGCGATGAGCACGATGAAGGTGGAAGAATATTGATTGCGGATCTCTCCGAGATCGAACCAAATATATCCCTCAGCTCGGGGCGACACAAAACCAATTCAGAACCTATACATGGAGAGTCGAACCCCGTGGCAGTAGTCGAAGCTGAACCTACATGTGACGAAGTATGGCCGCTGGGTGCACTGCAGGCCAATGGATATTTAACATTGGCCAGCATTTGGGATTATTCTACTGAGAAACCCCGATTTTAAGGGAAATCTCTCCTTTTGGGAATTATGGTGTAACTTCGACTACAAATGCTGCCAGATTATCACATGGTGATGTAGCCGATAGATTCCTGTATTTCTCAAGTCCAAAGGAGTCAAATTGAGTTTGACACTAGCAAAGGGATTGAAGCATCCAAGAAATATGTCCTTGCCATGTTTTTGCCTTGAACCTCGACGGAAATGGGTAGAAAAAGCCTGCCGTACACCCCATCAATTTTGATGTACTATTGGCACTCAACTGATCCCCCTCCGCGCTCTTGATCTATGAGCGAGAATATTGTTTGGATTGTGGGTGCAACCGATACATCTCGGAAGCTTAAGATATATAATCAATTTTATCTTGGTGGAACTGGCGGTACATCAGCTCTCTCATCCCGCCGCCGTATTTGCTGTTTTGGAGAGTGGCCGGTGGGAGAAACCCTGGGAATCCGGGTTTCCGAATAGAACACCTTTTTAAGCAAGGGTTCGTTTCCCTTGGAATCAGGGTTCCTCAGTAGAATGATCCAAGCATCTGAGGTGGATGGTCGAGTGGTATTTGCGCGTGAAGGAACACCTCGAACTTCATGCTCCCGAATCACCATCTTTCCACCCCACCGAGAATACACTGTATCTGAAATCAAATCAGCGCGGTAGATGTGGTTCGAAAGTTCCAACCCCTTGATTCGAAGCCCACGCCGGATTCCCCGACGTCCTCTTATGCTTCCGTCCTCCGTCGCAAAACAAGTCCAGAAACCGTGGGGGGGACGCCCACACCCAGTCAGAAGTAGAACAAGAGAACAACTACTTCTGAACAAGGAAACACAGCAACATTCTGATCGATCAACATCCGAAACCGAAGACAAGCGGACTGGCAGCACGTGCCACCCTCCTTTCTTTTCCTTCCTCCCCAAGCTTGCGCCACTCAGTCGTCTACTCCAATTAATGCTCCTTCCACCAACTAATAACGCGCGGCCCGGCCTCCTGGCATTCCGGAACACTTGCGGGCGGCGCGGGTGCGGGCACGTCTTTGAGTACGACGGGGCGGATCCGCTGGGGAATATACACAGGCTCGTAAGGGAGCATTCGCCGCTGTGTGGCGGGTTGAGGGCCGAGTGAGTGTTGCGTTACTTTTTTCTTTACTTTTATTCTTCTTTTCCACCCACTTTCGACTTTTTGAGTGAAAAGAAGTATTGCAGGTTACTAATGAAGTGGCGCAGGAGCAGCATCAGTTTCTGGCGCCAGCCCGAGCGTCCGCCCCCGCCCCCGCCTCCGCCCGTCGAGGAGGCGTCTTTCAGGTCTAGCTCCGCGTCGTCGGTCGGGAGCGGCGCGGGCGACACCACTCGCGCGTCGTCGCCGTCCACAGCCACATCCGCATCCGCCTCGTTATCGACCCGACCCAAGCGGCGCACCCGCGCGCGCGCACCCTCCGCCACACCCTCCACTGCCAGCGGCTCCTCCCTCTCCTCCGTCTCTTCGTCTGCCTCCCGCCTGGGTATCGACATCGATGGCTCCTCTACGGCGAAAGGCAAAGGCAAATCAAAATCACCCAACGGCGCATCCAAATCCTCGCACACTGAGCCCCAGCGCCGCGCCCTTCTCGCCGCAGACCCGCTCATCCGCCCCGGCTCCATTACCCCACACACCGTCGGCTGCGCCGTGTGCAAGAAGACGATACGCCTCGATAGACGGAGTCGGTATTATCCGGGGCTGTGGGTGAAGCATCGAGTGCGGTGTGTGAAGGTGCGTCCTGGTTTTTCTCCTCTTAAAAACAAGATGGAGCTGACGGGGATTATGTAGGATCAGGAGGAGGGGAAGCATGGGGATGGAGGAGAGCGGGATCCGAGTGTGATGGATATCGAGGTGGAGGGGATGGAGGTGATGCGGGAGGAGGAGGTGTTGAGGCCGAGGAGGTCGTGTGAGTGCTTTATTTTTCTTGCCACCCTGTCCTCCATACAATCCATCGCGCTCCTTCTCCTCCATTCTCGCCTCGCTCCTCTTCCGCGTCTGTCCGTCCTTCTTCTTTCCCTCCTCCCTCCCGTCTTCTCTGCCCCGTTCTTGCCACCGCCCTTCACTGACAATTTGTTCTCATCGCAGATTACAAAGCCAACCCCAAATAGTCTGCCTCTCACCCACCAGCCCTGCGTCCGCGTAACCTAGTTCCGCTAGCTTCTCTCATGTCATCTGGATACGAAGCTTCCATGTAGCCCCGCCCCCGATGTATTCTAGCCTGTGCGTCTGAATAAACCCCGCGTTTGCGGGTGGATACCCACTCTGTCCTTGCTTCTGGGTGACTGGATGTACGCACGCGTGCCTTCGCTGGTTGTGTAGTGTGTCTTTCGCTCTCGACGCGTGCGGTCAACTCTGGTAAGAACAGAACTTCCTTCCTTCATGCACGGCGCGGGGACGGTGCGGGCGTGCTCATATCTCGCTCGACCTCTCTCTTCTCGTGATGATTCTCCTTGGCGTCTGCAAATGCGCAAATGCGCGGCTGACCGGGCTTCAGCTCGAGCTTCGACACTTGGCAGAATCATCATCATTACTGCAAACTTCCACAGCTCCTTCTCCCAACTCCCCTTCGGACTTGTGTGGTGCGTATAGTCCCGTCGCCCACGTCTCGCTGGGTCGTCTTCCTGGCGTTTCTCCCTGGGCTTCAACCATTCGATTTTGCTTGAGCTTGAGTTCTCCCAGTAAGGCTGGAGCTGGGTTCCATCTACTCCGCCGGTTGAGCTGTGGTATGTGCCTTTTCCCTCTCTTTATGCTGTCGTTGTTGATTCCGCCCCGTTTTCTAGGGTACCGATCGGCGCCTCGCGGTCATTCTGAGGTGTATGTATTCAACACCGGGATTTTTCGACTTGAACCAGGCGCCTTGGCGCGGTGCGCGTTTTCCCGTTCTTGACCCTGTTGATCTCGCAGGATTAGCACTGCGTACCGCTGCGGGTTGAACTATACCTTACGTGTACCTTAAGCTTGCGACCGATCGCTCCCCTCTTCAGCCTGCTCCCAGCTCATCGGCGGCACTTTTCGCGAACAGCGCTGCTGGGCAGTAGACCCCCCCTGTCGCTGAGGAACTTGCTCAGTTTCGGTCTTATGTAGGTTCGTGAGGGATATTTCTGGGTTACCCAGGATTTCATGGCCTGAGGCTCAATTTTGCGCGAGCAACGCCTCTACCTTTGTTGCTCTTCTCATTGTATCGCTATATCCTTCCCGAAATTTCATTGCCTGGTCTACAATGTCCGTCTGTTCGAGATCCGATACGTCCATCATCCTTGTGGTTACATTGATCTGAGACAGCCCTAACAACGTCCCCCGCCTGGTTAAACCGAACTCACCGGTCGAACGTCAGGTATCCTCTGGTATCCTGGGTTGCCTCTATCATTGTGAACCACGCATCTCCGAGTGCAGCTACTTACCTGTTTCTTCAAGCTTCCTGGCTCCATCCGATCTGCCCCGGTCCTTTCATTTACGAGCCGAGCTTACGCATGGCATGCACCTCCAATTCAACGCGTCACCGGAATGTGTTCATTTGGCTCTATCTTTACTCAACTATGAGCTCGGGACAAAATTTTTGATCGATTTCTCGCCCGTCCAGTATCAAGGCCAGTGAACTCTCCCATACACATGGCCGCCTGGAGAAATGCCATTGCGTCTGACTACGATTCGGGAATCGTTTAGACTCATCAGGGGACCGCATCGACGGAGACTGCAGGTTCGATCCCTGCGGTGGTCAGTCAATGCGAAGGTTTGATCTTCTTTTTCTGGTTCTCTCCCCCTATGGCCTTGTTTACCGCGTCTTCGGAAGGCGAGACACCATGTCTCTTCCGTCTGCGGCCGCTTCGAGGCAGCATCCGTATTGTGTGAATCCATTACATTTTATGCTCGGCTCCGTGCCGTCCTTCATCTCCAAGTTAAAGATCAGTCGCGCGATCATAGAGTGTGATTATCGGATTTTCCTGAAACAAACGCAACCGGGGGAAAATAGAACGTCCTGAGCGCGCCACAAAACAGCTGATTGGAGTGGGATTCGAACCCACGCCCTTTCGGACCAGATCACCACACGTAGCGATGAGTTTAGCTCCAAGAGGAAGCGGATCCTTAGTCTGGCGCCTTAGACCGCTCGGCCATCCAACCATGGCGCTGGGATTGGTTCGCTGAGTGTTGGCGTGACCAAACCGATTGGATCCTACTTGAGCTAGTAGAAAGAGATACGACCCTTGGAATGTGAATTGCCTAATTTGGATGCGGGCGTAGTGGTGTTGTTGGCTGTCTGTTTTGATCGGAGTTCGGCGCGTCGGCCGACTCAGAATTGATGTTACTATTGTTATTATTGTGAACACCGCCTATATCAAGTACATGACTGAAGTAGTAAACTACCCGGAGGTACAATTGTAAAACAGGAACACAGAATGAATTGAACCAAAAACGGAAAATAAATAGAAACGGAGTGCGCCAGATAGCTAGTACCACGTGATCGTGTGATCATCCATCGAAATCGATGAGGGCGCGGCGGGAGGGGGCGCGAGCTTTAGAGGGGCACGAAGCAGGGTCAAAGACAGTGATAATATCTCGTGGAGGGTGTGGGAGCAATTAGCGGCTGCCCGAGCGTGACAGAGGCTGGATGCGCGCTGGATGTCATGGATGTCGTGAGCGATGGAGGTGAGAGTGGTGAATGGGATGAGGGTGGTGGAGTCAATAAAGAGTAGGAGGCGTGCGTTAAGCTGCTGTAGGCATTTTTCGATGAAATCAAGCCGTTTTGACAGTGCAATATGGGCCCGAATGGATCTGCTGCCAATTCGGTAACGGGCGCAGGCGGCATGGGATGTAAGCGTGAGCCGCTGTGATCGCATGGCGTGGAATCTGCGAGCGCGGGCAGCGCGGGGATCAAAGCGCAGCTGGGATGGGCATGGGGGTGATGGGTTTTCATCGGTAATCATTGTATGGGGGTGCCAAGACCTCGTCTACAGCAGCGACTGAGTGCCCGATGCTCGATGCGGCCAGAACGACGACAATCCACCGAAGGTGATGGTGGTAGTATGTTGGAGCTCCGTGATGTCCGTCACGAGGACCATGAGAGTTCATAACGACCGAAAGGCTAGTCTTATCGCCTCAACAGGCCACCGACTGATTATGTGATTAGGTGGCAGATACACCTATGGGCTAGTCTCCCCCAGGCAGACACTTTAATAATTTTGAGCTCGTACCTCACTTGTTGAACCCCTGGCCACTCTTGCTTTCGTGTCATAATGAATGGGATGTGAATGAATCTCAAAATATTCATATGGCTGTGGTGCTGGAGCGTGATTGGTGTGCTCTGTCAAGTTAAATGATTTGCCAGAGGGCCACTGCTACATTGTGCAGACATTCTACAGTGCTTTGAAGCAGCTGAGGTGCATCTCCCCTGATCAATTAACTCACTTTTGCTAGCAGAGCTGCAGTCGCTATCTGAACTGGGGTCTGACAAGTCATCAGACAGGTCAGAGTCAGGGGGAGAGGTTCCCATATTCGCTGCACTACAAATGGCTTTATCAAGCGAACTTCCACCCACAATTTGGCCTGTAGTGAGTCTGGTTTTATCCAAGTCGGATTTGGATGAGAGTTTTTCCCCATGCATTAAACCCATGATATTATTGTGAGCAGTCTCCTTGGTTCAATTTTTAATCAACTTTTTGGAAGCTTTCTCATAGTGTTCCTTTTGCTTCACGTCGCTGAGCTGTCTTTTCAGCTCTGGAATCTGTTCATCATTAGTCTGGCCAGACTCAATACCATCCCCTTTCGCAGAGTTGGTCTCGGAAGCAAATGAATTGGGCCTCAATTCAGGAACGAACTGCACCGAGACCGACAGTGTACACAGCGGCTCAGGAACAAGGGACTTCAAGACTATGGCAACATGGACTGGACAGCTTCGGATTTGCACCTTGTTGTAATTTGAATCGGTTGCACTAGAGCTGTTAGGCTTTGGGTTACAATCTCCTGAAGAGATTGGCCTAAATCCCTCAGCTTATATATTGCAGACGTAGTATACTAGAGTATTCTACAAAAGTCGGCAGAGTTCTACATTAGTAATCTGCTGAGTAAGTCCGCTCGGGGATCGGCCTGATTGCCCCTTATGGTCATTTCTCCAACACACTTCGGCTGTCCGGCAAGCGTGATTGGTGATTGTAAGTGACCCTTTAGGATGTGAGGACCCTAGATACATATTGTTTGAAGTATTTACCGGTAGTTGGGTATCCATCAGACCAGTCTACCAGCCAAAATTGTGCTCTTAAAATAAATGTTTTGTTACAGTTAATTGGGTCATGGTTGATTAGATTGGATTGGATCGGAATAGGTTAGGTTTCTGGTTTTGGTTTTGGTTCGATGACGCGGAGGTAGAAAGAATGATGAGATGGATTCAATGGTGGGAATGGAAGGAGACTTGTGGGAAACTATTTTGGTACACGCTCACCACACTCAGCGGTGCACCGATTGTACTGCCCTATTTATTAATATCACACCGGGATTCAATGCTGATCACCTGGATTGCAGCACACATATACTTTGTGTGGAGCCCTGACCTCGTGCAACTTGGTTTTGTTGCATATTTTGTTGGTGGATGGATATCTGTTTTCACATGCTCACGCCAACCTCGCACTTCAACAAAATGGTTATCTGACCATGGTCCATATATGCTCATTCACAAAACATTGTGTTCAAACACTCTGCCTCAGAAGTGCCTCCAGAGCCTCCATCTCTTGCAGTTTACCCAAACTTTCATATGTCAGTGCAAGATTACGAATAGTCCATCGAGTTCTTCGGTGTGAATCACCCAAAATCTCCCGCTGCCTCTCCAATACAGCAACAAAGAGTTTTTCTGCATATTTAAACTGATTTTCTATGTTTGGAGACCCTAGTTTCTTCTGCTTTTCCAGCACAGAAAAACTGAACCAGTCTGCCTTTCTCAACTCCCCAAGGTCATCACTGCATTTAGGCCCCTGATTGGCAGAGGCTGCCGAGCTTTGCCGCCATCAGACGCGCTGTGCCTACCTTACGCAACAGGGTCTGCCGAGAAAGGTCTGCTGCGTACTGCCGCCATCGGTCGCAGCGAGGGCGGCCAACCCCTGCCGCCCTAGCCTCCCTCCTCTTCCGACCACGGCGCCTTCGTCGTCCTTTATCTCCGTCATTCGGGCTGCCTGGCCAGCAATAGAGAATAAGTACCACCGTGGTGACCTTGGAGCGGATGGGAATATTTAGCTCACATGGGAATTGTCTTACCAACCGGTTGATTTGGGTGTAACACCCAAGTAACACCAACGTAACACTGATTTTGAACCCGCTCACAGAAACAGTGTCTTTGGCCAATGGACCCAAACAGCCGCTCAACGGCCTCTCATGCAACTCAGCGCAGTGTCAAAAGGTATGTCAACATAAGGTCCGCAAAAATTGCTCATGAGCGCCACGTCGGTGATATCGGCCGTATCGTGACAGTGACATAACACGGTCGGCAAAGATGGCGCGAAGGGTCTGGAGTTGATCTGGAGCCTGCTTCTGTCGACGACCTCCAGCTCCGAGCGCCCTAACTGCGCGCCCCGTGATTGCACATCAGGTAGACCTAGGGAGGCCACCCGCGGTGGACCACGTCGCGCTCGGGTCTGCCGCACTCGGCCGCGGCGCGGTGGACACATCCTCTGTCGCCTAGGGGTCTGAATGCAGTGCATGGTATGTGGATGCTAGACCTGCCATAGTCCAGAGAGTATCTGGATGTGCCTCACCAAGGACTCTCCTGTTCTTTTCCAACACCTCAATGTATAACTTCTGGGCCCAGTTCACCTGACGAAGGGCATGGTATTGTGATGCTAGGTGGCCCATTGTCCATAGTGTGTCTGGATGATGTTCGTCCAGCAATGCACACTGCTTCCCAAGCACCTCAATGTATAATTCTTCTGCCTTCTTAGATTTCCCCAGTTGTCCATATGTCAATGCCAGAGTACTCATTGTCCTGAATGTGTCTGGATTATTGTCACCCAAAATCTGCTTTTCCAATGCTACTGTGAGCAGTGGCTCTGCTCTCCTCATTTGCCATGTTTCTTGATAAGTTGATGCTAGACTACTCATGACCAATAAGGTATCTGGATGGTCTATGCTTAGAACTTGAGTTCGCTTCTCCAAGACTGACATCTTGAGCTCCTCTGCCTTGTTGAACTGGCCTAGTGAATGATATGTGTCGCCTGAGGCACCCATGATATGCAAGGTAACTGGGTCATCATCTCCCAAAGAGATTATCCTTTTCTCAAGCACCACAACCTGCAGGGCTCTAGCCAGCCTAAACTCACCAAGTTGATGGTGAATGTGTGCTAGGTTTTCCATCACCTGCAAGGTGTCTGGGTGATGATCCCCAAGCTGTTTCTGTATTTCCAGAAGCGAGAGTTTTTACTCATCTTGCTGCTTCAATAGAACTTCCAAACGTGGGTGCAGTGTTGTATGTTGCGAAGCCTGAATGTTGATGACCTCAACAGAATATTTTCGGGTCAACCAATGAATCATGAAAAATCCATGGACTCACTCAATCTCTGAGGACCTCCGAATTGTGTCCAGTACTCTGTCCAAAGTTCTCAGCATCATAAACACTGAATCCCGTATCATCCTAGTCCTAGTCAGTCCTATCTCGGTTGAATTCCAGAAAAAAAACGAAAATTACCATTCTTCAATGAATTCAGAGCTGTCCTCATCTGATTCATAGCCTCCGCTCCGAATTGGTATTTCCGTAGAGTCTTCATCAAATCTCTGATTCTGGTCGGTTTGCTCCTGGGTGGAGTATTGACTCTGTACATCCACGGTGTCGTGAGGCATCGAGTTCTCTGGATATGAATTATCTTGGTGGTACAAGTCAGCCAGAGAGGCATCTGGGAGTGGACCAGTCTCCGTTTCGTTCTCACTGCACCAGTGAATAGTCAGTGCAGTCCAAGACCTATCAGTGAGGAATGCCTCACTTGTCTATGATGATATTCAACTCCGCATCTTCATAAACAAGGGGAATAATATTCTCGAATCCGCGGGCGGCAGAGGCAGAGGATTGGGGAAGAAGTTTGGCAGATCGTGGTCTGTAAACCGTCAGCTTGGGTCAGTGAGTCGGTTATATATATCCTCACCTCCAT